AACTGCTCCTCAGAACTAATGAGTACCCTATCCATAAGGAAGCCCTTCACGCCTATCACAGAGGATCGTGAGGCTCAGGGCCTGGTTGTCTCCTACACTAGTCCCTGTAACACCCTTACTTTACCTGTGGGAAAATCCCGCCTCTGAGGATGGAGGTTCGTCTGGGACCTCCGAGCAGCCACTAGCCTTGTTGTCCCTCCACCCCGCTGTTCCCAACCCTCATGTTGTACACCCAGTAATTTGCACTGAAAGAAAATTTTTCACTGTAAGTGACCCAGGCGGTGCATCTTTTGGTGTTCTGGTGGATACGCATAGCCAGTGCCCTTCTGCGCTCACTGGGGAAGAACAGCAGTGCATCTGGGCCATCGTGCCCCGGGCCTCTGAGTCCTTCTTACTTTTCACAAACCTGGAAGCTGACCCAGACAATAGAAAGGTTCCTTCAGCCTCTGTTTTGTTGCAGTTCATAGATGATCTCATTCTCCGCGCCCTTCTCAAATCTCTTCACAGGAAACAGCATCTACCTGTTAAAACTTTCGGCTTGAAAGGGAGATCGTGGTCGCCAGAGAAAAAGCCGCAGGTCAGATTGTCACGGCATTCCATCCCAAAACAAGGACTGCCCTTGGACCCAGACGAAAGCCCTCACATGTCGACTCCTTCTGGCAATTTATAGGAAATTCCTCTTATGCAGCTTTGTCTTGGTTTGCTGGTGGCTCTTGTCTAACAGATGGCGCTGGTAAGTGTTGTGTCAGATGTGCCGTGGCAACTCCCATCTGAACTCTTCGAGCGGCACCTGTACTCTGGCTACGTCGGCCCAGCCCCTTATTCCAGCCGGTACCCTAGCCAACGGTAAAACCACAAACGGTCGAACCTATGGCTGCCATGTCCATGGGGGGGTGGGTGAGCTCATGATCCGGAACAGTATGGAAACAATGAACTGTCCTTGCCTCCAGCGGGACTAAAATTTAAAATGGCCCCTATGTGCAGAATTTATTAAATGGCATACTCTTGCCAGTGGCTCTGGTTACTTTTAATATTCCCGGGCACTCCAGACTCAACACCCTGGAGGCTGAAGGAAACCACTCCACTGATAGGTCCACAAAAACCAAACCAAAACAAAACATCGCTCCCAAAGAGACCAATAGCCAAACCTCTGGTCCAAAGAAATATTCTCCATGATATGTGGAAAAATGGATCAACAAATGCCCACCCACCGATCCCAGAGTGGGAAAGTCAGATGGGAAATCTAATAATTGTTTCTTTGATAGAACTCTAGTTTGGACCCAATAATAATCCAACTGTACCAGAAATTCCAAAATTCCCACTACTTACCACTGTACAAGCATTTAACCTACTGGCGAAATGCTAGCACTGGGGAACCAACATTGGTGGAGAAATAGTAATAAGGCCACAAACGTTGCCAACGTGCCGGTCCTGCCTGTCTGACGTACAATGCACAGAATTCCCACTCACACAAATGGAGCTCGTAGCTTCCCCATCCCGTGGAGATCAACGCGTTTTAGTCACAGTTTGCTTGTTCTCTCTCTGGACCCAGGTTTTCTCTGGCAGACAGGCCATGCTACTTCGGTGGCTAGGATTCTGCTAGAAAAGATTATCCCTACCTGGGAACCCTTCCCAACTCCCTATGGCCCGGGAGTCCGTTTTACGGGCCAGGTTCTTGACAGCTGTGTGCTGTTCCGAAGGTTTTCCGGCACTCCCACGGTGCGGACCACCCTCCGTCCTCAGAGCTTCTCAAACCCACTAGCGCCACTGTTAAGACTCAGGCAGCACAACCTGTAGAGGCCCCCCGGCGCCTCAGCAGAAGAGCTGCCATTGGTCCAACTGAACCTCAAATCCCCTCTCTTGAGAACTCACACACTCTCGCCCTTCAAGGCCGCCACAGAGCCCTTGGCCCCTGCCTCCGACCTACAGCGGGTAAGAGGAGACAAGGGTCAGTGCCGCAGGGGCCCAACCGCTCCCGTTACAAACAGCCATCTTTTCACTGTGTGCCCCGGAGACGACGACCTTAAGTATCATATCTTGCAAATTGGAGATTTCGTTCATGGGAAAAGACACTCGGAAAGATTCTCTTCAGCCTCTCTGGAAAGGCCCTTATCAGGAACCCTGAACCAACCCTGTGCCGCCAAATCCCAGGGACGAGACTCTCAGAGCCACAGCACGCATCTGAAGAAAGCATCGATCCCTGACTGCCCCTGCATGCCATCTAGTGACCTGAAAGTCAGGATTTCCTTGGGGGGCTCCTGGGGGGGGGGCCTCAGTCGGTGAGGCGTCTGCCTTTGGCTCAGGTCACGATCAGGGTCCTGGGATCGAGCCCCATGTTGGGCTTTCTGCTCGGGGCAGAGTCGGCTTCTCCCTCTCCTTCTGCCCCTCTGCCCCTCCCTGCTGGTGTGCTCTCTTTCAAATAAATAAAATCTTAAAACAAAAATAAAAAGATTTCCTGGAATGGCAGCGGACAACCTCTGGCCAGACACTTTCCCAAGGTGTCCGGATAGGCCTGTGGGCCCTTTCTCACTGTTGCTGCTTCTCTCTCATGGAAAGACAGTGTCCTTGTCTGCATTTCCCAAACCACTGAGAAAGAGAAAACCTTTTTAGATCATGGCCTTTTGGAAACAGCTTCATCATGATCTTGTAACAGATTAATTTTTCAGCTGTTTTTTCCTGAACAGTTAGAAGTTTCAGAATTCACAACTCTTTCTTTCATTTGAATGTGTGTCTGGCTCTGGATTCCTTTCCAAATTCATGGCCTCTGAATTTGCAACCTTACAGTCCGTCTTATTGGGTAACATTTGTTTCCAAACAGTTCTTTTGACATAACAATGCTGTTTTAACACATCTTTGAAGTTTTGCTATTTTTCCAAAAAGTTCATCAGCTGTTGCTTCACGTTCATACCTGCATTGTATCACCACAAACACACCCGATTAATTCTTTCCATGTCCTCTTGATGTCTTCACTACTCTGCTTTCATGGCTGCAGGTGGGGGCTTTCGGGAGCCCTGTGTGACTCCAGCACTGTCTTTGTGGGGAGAACCTTCTCTGTAAGTCAGAATAAGGGCCGATAAATACAAGTTGGCTGCTTTCAGACCAAGGGTCCTAGTTTAGCACCGTCACGCAATTTGGAATTGCAGTGTTACTTCTGTTTCATGTGGTTATTTTAAGTTTTGAATTTTGTTGCCTCTCAAACTTTTGTGAAAATGATGTACTCAATACATGATCTCCAATGCTTATGATCCTGGAAAATATGAACTAGAGATGGAAAGTGCCTTGGAGGTCTCCCTCCTGACCTTCCTTGTTACTCAAATCTGTCCTTAAGTGCTTTTCCACAGCTGTGCACTTTCTCTCCAACATGGAACATGACAACCAGAAAAGGTCCTTCCTGGCCCCAAGGGACAAAAGCACTAAGTACGGAAAACCTGACTCTTGATCAGGATGCTTTCAAAGGATGATCCCGATCCAAAGAGGGAAATGTGAACATTAGTAAAAGGAAACTCTCTTGTAGAATGGAGTCAGGAGGCCAGTGCCCAGCAGCATTGGTCACCGCCAAGCAGGTGGATTTACAACCCCAGCAGAGGAAGCAAGATTTCCCCTTTCACAGCCAAGGAGAAGCTACTATACTTCCAGCTCCCAGGCTGGGCTTTGCACTTCTAACATCCCCCTTCCCCAACTCTTCCCCTTCCTGAATAAATAAGCTGCCCTGCCCTCTGTTCCCAGGATTTTCCTTTGGTTTTCTCACGGCTGTCTTGTCCTAGGTCGCAATTTTATTCCAGAATAAACCCATTTTGCGTGCAAAATAACCGACAGTTTTATTTTAGTATCGACAACACACACACACACAATAGCAACAGCCTGGCTTGAGGCGTAGTTCGCACACCGCACAGTTCGCCCATCCGGAGTGCACCGTCCAGTGCGTGCGACCATCACCACAGTCCATTTTAGAGGATTTTCACGGCCTGGAGAAGAAACCCAGCAGCCTGCAGCCGCCGCTTCCCGCGCCGCGTTCGGTGTCCCAGCCTGCGGGGACCATCTTCGTCCCTGTGGGTTTGCCTGTTCTGCTCCCTTCGTGTCAACGGATCGCGCGTGACTTTGGTGACGGGCTTCTTCCACCGACACCCCGTTTCCAGGGTTCCCCGTGTCACAGCGGGTGTCAGCACTCCAGTCCCCTTAGGCGGAGGGGCTCCCCACGGCTTGGCTAGACCCCGTCTGGGGTCCCCATGCACCAGGAGGGGCACGTGCGGGGCTCCCCCTTTGGCTATCACGACGACAGCTGCTGTTTACCGCGAGGCCCTGTCCTGTGAGGCCTCGCGCGCACCCCTCCCGCGCGTGTCCGGGAGCGGACGTGCTGGGCCCTGGGGTCACTCCGCGCTGAGCCCTCGGAGGAGCCGTCCCCGGTCTTCAGGGGCTCGGGGCTAGGCAGGGGACGCGAACAATCTGAGTCACCCAAGTCCGGGAGTCCACACCGCTCTGCCCGCGAAGCCCCCGGAGACACCTGCCCGCGCCGGTGGACCCTGCAGCCTGGACCCCGAGCCGCGCGGACGCGCACGCGGGTGGGCGGTGGGGCGGAGCCCCAGAGGGTCGGGGTGCAGACTCGCGGCGGGAGGACGCTCCGGGGCAGCCCGGGGGCGGAGCGGGAAGGGGCGAGAGGGTGGAGGGGCTGGGGCCCGGCCCGCGGGAGCCCGAGGGTCTGGGGCAGCCCCCACCCGCGGCCCCGGGGACGGCCGCTTCCGGCTTCCTAGCAACCAGGCGGCATCCTTCCCAGCAAGCACCGCTTCCCACCCGCGGCCTCAGAGACTACGAGGTCCAGCGTGCCCCGCGGCCCAGGCGCGCGGACTCCAAGTCCCACAATGCACAGCCCACCCTTTCCTCGCAGCCCCTCGCCCGTGCTCTCCTGAGACCCCTCCGGGGCATCGCAGCGACCCCTTCCCGGCGCTCCCCGCGCCGCGCGCCCTCGCGGTGACCCGCAGTGCGTGGGGTCAAGGCGCGGGGCGGGGCGGGGCGGAGCGGCAGGGCGGGCGCCATGCGGAGGGGCGAGCGCAGAGGCGGCTGGGGCCCGCGGCCGGGGTCCCCGGCGCCCGCGGGCAAGGCCTCGCTGGAGGAGCCGCCGGACAGGGCGGCCGCGGGCGGAGCGAGCGGGCGGGGCGCGGGCCGCCGCAGCACGGAGTCCGAGGTCTACGACGACGGCACCAACACCTTCTTCTGGTGAGCGGCGGGGCTCGGCGGAGGGGCCGTCGGGGTCGCGCGGGCGCCTGGGGCTGGGGGCGACGGCCGCCCCGAGGCCCCGGGACGGCCCCCGCGCAGCCCCGCCGCGGCCGGCCGCCGCCGCCGCTCCAGCGCGCGGGTCGGGCCCTCGCCCCTGCTCCCGGGCCACCCGGCTGCAGAGTCCCCCTGGGCCCGCCGTCCGGAGCGCCTTTCTCTGGCGTCTGCCGCTCGCCTGGGTGACATGGTCTCCGCTCGCCCAGGCACGTAGCAGTGACCGTGACCAGCACGGGCACCTGCCCACGTGCCGGGACCTGGGCGGGTGTTAGTCACCCACGGTTTCGGTCTCTTGTCGGTTGCCGCTTGCGGAACCAGCCCTTCGACCCCCGCGCGGCTCAGTCCAGGCCACGCCTCAGGGTCAGGCTGTCCCCCAGGCTGCCTCCATGGGCGTCAGGAGGGAGGGGCCCCCGCGAGCAGCGCCCGCCCTTCCAGAGCCTGTGTTGGAAGACGTGGCGCTCTTGCTTTATGCCGAGTCGGGTCAGAGGGCTCTGACCTTGGGGTAGACCTTCACCTGTTGGAGCCTTTCTTTCCTCCTTGGCAGGAGAGATGAACCCGGTGTCCTAGAAGGCAGGCTTGCTGAGGGCTGGCGTTGGGGTTGCCGCCCTGGATGCTCAGTTCCTGTCCAGCTAAACAGCAGAGTGCCGCATTTCAGACCTGGGGTCGGCCCTGGGGCGGCAGAGGCACAGTAGGTGTGACCACAGCTGCGAGGGGGCTGCCACCTGGAAGCACCAGCTGCGGGATTGTTGCAGAAGATCCGGGCAGGGGAGTAAATGTTTGAGGGGAAGGCGCTGCTCCAGGCTGGAAACTCTGCAGGACATGCCCCTGGGGCTGAGTGGATGTCCTGGCTTTTATCAGAGTCGGGAGACATGCAGGAAGGGGGTGTTCGTGGGAGAGCAGCCCTGCATCTGGATGAAATTGGGGTCTAACCTGTGGGTGCCAGCAGCTGCTGCACCAGGATAGCTATCAGCTCTGCCTCAGGGACATCATGCTTTCAGGTGGCCATGGAGCCAGTGGGAGGGAGAGAGGGGCAGCGTGCCCCGTCAAGGGACTTGTGGCCCCTGAGTGCCCAGAGCACTCATGGACCCTGCTGGGCCAGCCGCGTGCAGGTCAGGCCTCTCCACCAGCACGTCCCCTTCCGACGGTGGAGGGCAGGCACCATCCCGAAACGCACTGGCTGTGCTTGCTTCCTGTTTCCGATTGATTGACATATTGGGGGGGGGCCCACCTGGGTGTCAGGTACTGTTCTGCGGGTTTCAGCAGAGACCTGAGCAAGGAGCTGAGATTCTGGCCTGACCCTGGGGCTTCGGAAGGCACACAGTGTCCTGGCTGCAGGGATGCTGAGGTTGCAGCACCCGAGGAAGCCAGGGAGCCGTCGCCTCAGCCGCGCCGTGAAAGACGTGTGCTGATGGCTTTAGAAGCACAGACTGGCACCCCCTCCCCCGCCAAGTCTTTTCCACAAGGGGCTTGGTCAGTTGGACACACAGTCGCCTGCTGTAGCTGAGCTTACCTGCGAGGAGGGCTGGTGGGGGACCACGAAGGCTTTCCAGGAGGGAAGGGGACAGGGCTGGCCGGTTTCAGGTGCCTGCCCGGCGGGTCTCCCGGTGGAAGGTTCATGCCTCCCCACCACAGGTGTGACGGGTGCTGTGTGCTGTGCCCTGCGGTCTGGGTCTGTGCATGTCCCCGGGGCACCCCAGGCCTCCCCTCACCTGGGTAGGGAAAGGAGCTTCACATTTCCTCAAGGCAGCAGACCGGGTGCCTGCTTGGTGAGGGCTACTCATTCTTAGCTGCAGAGCTTAGCCACTTGCTACCTTCTGAACCCCCTCTCACTGGCTTGCTGTGTTAGGGTTTAAAAACTTTCATTTTGTGTTTTAGAGAATTTTAATAATGAATAATAATGAATGTTATAAAAAAATTCATGTAAAGACTAAAAGTATGTTTTTGTGGAAATGATTTTGTGTTCCAGAATTGCTCAAAGGAACTTTTGTATGATTCAAAACTTTGTTTATAGGGTTTTCACAAAATATGCCCCAGGCTGGTGGTTGCACTGGGCTGTGGAGGACTCTGGGTATCTCTTACCACTTGTTAGCCACAGGGTATGTAATTAGGGTTCAGGGCTCGCCTGTGCCTTGGAGCTTGAAGCTGGGCTCCCAGAAACCAGGCCCAAGGGATGGGGCATAAGGACTGCTGGGGTCTTAAGTGGGAAGGACACTGCTTCTCCTCCCAGTGGTGGTCTCCAGCATGGAGCCTCTGGGCGCCATGTAGGACACACACTTAAAGGAACAGCACAAAGACGGGCTAGCTCTTTTTCTGAAGATGGTTTAGGAGACACCTGGAGACTTGTTGTCCTGAAGAGATGCCCCCGGGCTTGTCACCTGGAGACGGAAGTTGGGTGTTGCTACTGGGTTAGCACACTTCCTAACCAGCTCCTAAGGCAGGAGGGGGGAGATGGTTGCAATGTTCTGGGAGTGCATGCGTCTTAGCCACCGGGCCTTGGGCGAGCACTCTTAGTGACCCCAGGACCCTGCTGTCTGCAGTAGGTCGTATGGTAGCTGCAAGAGCATGTGGAGGTGATGTGAACGCCCATGTTCCAAAGATGCCTTTCTCAGTCCTGGTGGGGCAGGGGTTTGCCAGCTTTGCCCATATCTGGGAGGCTTGGCTCTGCAGCTGATGCCTTTTCAGTCATGTTGGTCAGCAGGCCAGGAGGGTCACTGCCATGACCGCAGATAGCTCTTTGCATGCCTGGGGCAAGCCCTCTGGCCTTGGCCTTTCCCGGCCGAGGCTTCCTTGTGCTCTCAGTGTGCTGGCCACACCTTCGCGTTCCTCTCATGGGTTTAGCCGGCCTGCCTCTCTGCCCGCTTGGCATGATGAGTGTGGTCAGCTCTAGGGACTGACACCTGGGTATTTTCCACTCACAGTGGCAGGGAGCCAGCTGTCCTCACACCCTCACCATGCTGAGTGACTGGAGAGTCACAGGACTTATGGCCACTCTTGTCCTCTGCCTGGATCACAGGACCCAAGCCTCCCCTGAGTTATCTGTTACCCACTGCACCAAAGGAGGCATCTGGGAGGGCCAGGGAGGTCTGCCTGTAGAGTGCTGGGTGCTCTCCAGAGCGGCCCCTCTATCCCACATGTGGAAATGGTGCTATGTGCAAGGCCAGGGAGACATTTTGGGCTATGTTTTTGTTCTTACCAGACTTACAGGGTAACCTTTTCATTTTCTGCACCAAACTTGCAAGCTGGTATTTCTATTCTCATTTCGAAGATGGGGGAATTAAAAGACGAAGAGTTAGTCAACACTGCACGTGTGCTGAGCTGCAAGCCTGGTGGTAAAGTCCACGCTTTCCTGCTGTGTCCCATCCCTCCCACGGAAGAGTGTCCCAGTGGGGAATGTAAGCTTTACGCTGAAAGTCAAAGGAAAGCACAGGCTGTGGATTGAGCAATGGTCTGACCATTAGAATTAGCGGAGTTCTGTCCCCCCTGGCCGCTGTCCTGGGACTTCCCTTTGTTGCCACAAGTTGCCTTTGAAAGCGCTGTCGGGGGTAGAGGTCTGACCACGCAGACACTACCTGGTCTCCGTGACAGCAGGTAATCTGCACCTGCAATTCTGCCCGCAGAGAACTGGGCTGGGGCACCTGGGGGGCTCGGTCGGTTAACCTTCCGCTCAGGTTGTGATCCTAGGGTCCCGGGATCGAGCCCCATGTTGGGCTCCTTGCTCAGTGGGGAGCCTGCTTCTCCCTCTGCCTGCTGCTCTCCCTGCTTGTGCACACGCGCTTTCTCTCTCTCTCTCTCTCTCTCTCTAATAAAATGTTTAAAAATATTTAAGAACAGAAGGACTGGGCTGATAATGTTTCTTCATCGAGGTGCTGTAATAATGTGTTGCCAGTGCTCGGAGAACTACAAATACGGTACCTGTTAAACATCACTGTTGGTCAATACGGTATATTTATAAAGTGATTTAACAAAAATTTTTTTTTATCAAGAAGGCAACTTTATTATTTTCCCACCTATAACCATCAGCCTGTCTCTGTGATTTTGGCTTTTCTGTTTTGTTTTGAGAGCGCGCGCGCGTGCGGGCTGGTGGGTGGGGGGCAGAGGGAGAGAGAATCTTGAGCAGGTGCCATGCCTGCCGTGGAGCCTGCCGCGAGGCTCAGTCGCACCACCCCACGACTGTGACCGGAGCTGAAATCCAGAGTCGGACGCCCAGCCAGCCAAGCCCCCCGGGCACCTCTGTGAGTTTGGGGTTTGTGTTTAGGTCCCGCAGGTAAGAGAGATGACACAGCGTTTTCTTTCTTACCTCACCCGACACAATGTCCTCAGGTGCCGCCTGTGTTGCACAGGTCAAGATTTCTTCTGTTTGTGGCTGAGTGACACTCCATCGTAGAAATACATGTTTGCTTTATCCGTTCATGGCGGACGGACGCTCGGGCCGCCGCACCTCGGCTGCTGGAGATAACGCCGCAGTAACATCGGGTACAGACATCTTTTCAACTTGGTGCTTTTGTTTCCTCCCGATTCCCAGTAGTGGAATTACTGGGTCTTACAGTAATTTTATTTAATTTCTGAGGACCCTCCCCGCTGTGGTCCCGCACGGCTGCCCCAGCTTGTGTCCCACGCACGGGGACGAGGGCTCCCGCGCCCGCATCCTCGCCGACACCTGGCGATTCCCGACCCGCTCATTTCGGCCGTTTCTGACAGGCGTCACGTGGTGTCTCCTCAGGGTTTCAGTTCGTTTTTTCCTGACGCTGAGTGAGGTTGAGCATCTTTTCCTGTCTCTGGGCCATCGGGGTGTCGTCTTTGGAAAAGTCTGTTCATGTCTTCTGCCCATTTCTTAATTGGATTGGTTTTTTGCTGTTGAGTTTGGTGAGTTCCTCACATATTTTGGATATGAGCTCCTTACCAGATACATGATTTGCAACTATTTTCTCCCTTTCACTAGGTTGCCTTTCCATTTTGTCAATGATTTCCTTTGCTGTCCAGAAGAGGGGAGCTTTTTTTTTTTAAAGATTGTATTTATTTATTTGACAGACGGAGATCACAAGCAGGCAGAGAGGCAGGCAGAGAGAGAGGGGGAAGCAGGCTCCCTGCTGAGCAGAGAGCCCGATGCGGGGCTCGATCCCAGGACCCTGAGATCATGACCTGAGCTGAAGGCAGAGGCTTTAACCCACTGAGCCACCCAGGCGCCCCGAAGAGGGGAGCTTTTTAAAGATGGATTTTATAATTTAATAATAAAGATTTTGCTTTCTAGTAGCACTTGATTTTAGCAGTTCTGAAGTCTGTTCTGCTCTGAGACTGTGGTGCCCTGTCCTCTTCCCCTGGCTTCTTGACTGTCTGCCTCCCTCCTATCTCGGATGGGACAGAGGAGGTCCTACTGATTCCTAATTCTGCTCTGCAGGGCCACGGGTGACTGCCTGAATGACAGTGTGACCATTGATCCCAAGGGACAAATAGTTGTTTTTATTTTTCAGATAATCCTTGTGGAGGATGGAAAGATGTATGACCAGAGCTGCCCCCATCAGGGCATGTGTTTTAGCCCAGAGAAACTATAGGAAGATGACTGCTTGTGCAAAGTGATATGAAAGAAACCTGGTTTTAAGACCCAGGACAGGGGCGCCTGGGTGGCTTAGTCACTTAAGTGTCTAACTCTTGATTTCAGCTCAAGTCTTAATCTCAGGGTCGTGAGTTCAAGCCCTGTGTTGAACTCCACATGGAGCCTCCATTTAAAAAAAAAAGACTGGGACAAAAGGCTTTCACATTTTAATTTTAGCTTCTATGCCCCAGAGAGGCAGTCCTGGCGGGACACCCACAGGGGTGCCTCTTGTATGCGGTGCCAGCACCAGGAGGGGTGGCAGGTGCCCGAGGGACTGTGGGGGATCGCCCAGCAATCTTTATTTTAAAGATTTATTTATTGGACAGAGAGAGCAATCACAAGCAGGCAGAGAGGCAGGCAGAGAGAGAGGGGGAAACAGGCTCCCTGCTCAGCAGAGAACCCAATACGGGGCTCGATCCCAGGACCCTGAGATCAGGACCTGAGCCGAAGGCAGAGGCTTAACCCACTGAGCCACCCAGGCGCCCCTAAATAAAACCTTAAAAGAAAAAAAAGAAAGAAATATGCACCGGTTGGAGAAACCCGTTGTTTCTTGGAACTGCTGCGGTTGGGAACTGGGCCCGAGGGTTCTTACTCCCTGCAGATGTCTGGGTCACGCCTTCTCAGAGGTGTGTGGGATCGGCGTTCTGCTCTTGGCTCTTCCTGGATCCTGACTTTGTCCCAGAAATGGTCAATGCATAACAATTTAGAGATCTGTATTTACTCTGTTTTGTAAGTTCCTGCAGTAAATCTGGCTTCACAGGGCCACCTCCTTGGCAGATCTGTGGGCTTCTCTGCAGGTGTCTGTGGCTGCTGCTGTGGGCCGGGCACGGAGTGCAGCCTCAGCCCAGCCTCTGGCCTGGTCTTGGGAGAGCGCCACATCAGCAGGGTCACGTGGTGCATAAGGTCTGAGACCCCCCTGTCCCGCGGCCGCATGGTGCCACGCATGGGACAGCCTCCCGTGTTCGGTGGTGGTTTTAGGTCATTTGTGTTTAGGTATTGATGTGTTCAGGTCTGCCATTTTATCCCTTGTCCCTGTTTCTGCTCCCCTGCCCCTCTCCCGCCCGTGGCTGGTCGTGTCTCTGCCTCCGCAGACAGACGTGTTGGTTTTGATTAGGTCTCCAGTGTGTCCTCCTGGGCTTCCACGGTCCCTGCCACCCGGCCCTGCCGCATCGGGTCATGCGGACCCATTCAGCCCCTTGCCTTCGGCTGCGGGCCCCGCACACGGGGTTACGGGGGCTGCTTTCAGTAGGTAGACACGTTTTGAAGAAGTGGTGAGGAGGACGGTCTGTTTCACCAGACCTTTACCATTTCTGTTGCCGTTGTTCCTTCCCGGTGGGCTGGCTTCTTTCTGTCTGAGGACGGGTGAGCAGGCCTCCCAGAGCCGGCCTCCTTCCCTCCCTCCAGCCTCCGTGTTCCTGCTCAGACAGTGGTCAGCCCGTTCCTGAAAGGCGTTCCTGCTGGATGCGGACTCCTCCTGGGTTGGAAGCACCCCCATGCCATGATGTGTGCAGGGTTGTCTCGGTGTGAGCTACTCACCCGGCAGCCCGGGGGCCCGACTGCTTGTGGACCCTGCTCCCAGGGGAGCTGCACCCCCGGCTGCCAGAGAGCCCCGCCGCCTCCTTCCAGAGTGGGGGTGGCCAGAAGGGGCCAAGCCTGTGTCTCTGCCAGATCATCGTGGTCTTTTTTTTTTTTTCTTTTTTAAGATTTCATTTATGTGAGAGCGAGAGAGAGCACAGAGGGGGTGGGAAAGGGGGACGCAGGCTCCCTGCTGAGCAGAGAGCTCGACGCCACTCAATGCGGGGCGATGCGGGGCTCCGTCCGAGACCCTGAGATCATGACCTGAGTTGAAGGCAGAGGCTTAACCAGCTGAGCCCCCCGGGCGCCCCCTGCCAGGTCTTCTGAGTAAATGGTACTGCTGGGGACACTCACCTCCTCACTTGGGTGCTGGTGTCCCTTTCTCTCACCTCTTTCGCGGGCTGTCCTTTGGAATCTCTCGGATGTGGTAATTTCGTGAATCCTGAGGCCGTCTCTCTGGCTCTGTGGAAACCGCCCTGTTTCCCTGCTACCCGGTCCCTGAGCCACGGACCGCCGCCGGAGTCGCACCTCCCACCTCCGACCCCGCAGCCTTGAGCGCCCGCTGGGCCGTTTGCTCTCCCGACAGCGAGGGGCTCTTCCCACTCCACGGCGGGGTGACGGAGCCAACACAGACCCACCAGGCGCTGGCGCTAGTGACTCGGCTGGGGTTTCCGGGCGTGGGCTGGGGGCCGCGCCGCGCTCTGACGCGCCCTCCGTGCGCTTGCGTTCCAGGCGGGCCCACACCCTCTCTGTGCTCTTCATCCTCACCTGCGCGCTCGGCTACGTGACTCTGCTGGAGGAGACACCTCGGGACACGGCCTACAACACCAAGAGGTAAGCAGGCCCCTGGCGTGGTTGGGCGCGGGCGCCTGCTCTACCGGCCGCGCCTGGCTCGGGGCGGTCTCCACGCGGAGGCTGGCTGGGCTCCCAGCCCCCCACCGCTGTGTGCGCCCCAAGCGTCTCTCCCCGGCTGCCTCTTGAGCTGTGTGGCCTTTTAGCCCCATTTCCACATGTCCAGGACCTTCGGGGGCGCCATCCTTCATGCGACCTGCAGCCTGTGCGGGATTCCCACGAGCAGCCGACTGGAGTGCGCTGGGGCAGCACGAGGGAAGGAGCCCAGAAAGCTCTCCAGCTCTGACGGGAGGGACGGTTTCCCCACACACCTCCGAAGCGACGCTCTGGACACCTGCGTGTCCTGCAGTGCAGCTTGGTCCTGCAAGACTGTCCCCTCCCCCCACTTCCGGTGCCACGCACAAGTCGGGGTTGTCACCTGTGCTTCTGACCCAAGTGGCTATAAATCCGAGGTTCCTGTGACTTCTTGGTTCTAGTCATTCGCCAGAGCAGCTCACAGAACTCAGGGAAACATTTCACTTACTAGATCCCCAGCTGGTTAAGGATCCAAGTGAGGAACAGCCCAACAGACATGCCCAGGGTGAGGTCTGGGGAAACGTTCGAGGTCCTGCCAGGCAAACCCCTCTCCCCGGGTCTCCACGTGTTCCCCATCCCGAAGTTCTTAAAACCTTGTCCTCGGGGCTTTATGGAGGCTTCATTACTTAGCCACAGACTGGCTAACTCATTGGTCTTTGGCGACGGAACCCAGTCTGCAGCCCCGCTGCCAACCCCGGAGGTCACAGGGTGGGCTGGAACCAGCCCTCTGATCCCTTGGTTGGCTCTCCTGGCTGCCAGCCCCCCTCCTTAGATGAGAAGCCACCTCATTAACATAACAAGAGACACCTTTATCCTTTCAGAAATGCCAAGGGTTTTAGGGGTTGTGTGCCAGAAACCAGGATGGAGAAATACGTATTTCTTCATATAAATCACAATGCCACGGAGCCCGTGAGTTTGGGTGTCTGGGGGGACCCGGATGGTGGTGGCGGCCCGGGGCGGCTGTCTCCCTTCAGTCCCATTCTTGAGATTTGTTGATGCAGACGGTGTTTTGGATGATGCCATCCTGAGGTCAGGAAGTGGGCAGGCTGCCCTTTCACTGTGATCCCCAGACACAGACGAGCTGCTGGGCTGTGTTCTTTGCCAGAATGTCCTGGGCTCTGTGGCACCTTTCAGAAGTGTGTGAGGGACATGAGGTGGCGTTCGAGCTGACTGCTGTGGGGTTTCTGTACTGGACGGACTCCTCAGGCCATGAAGCCCCCAGCACTCCTCTGAGCCGCTTGCTCTGGTGGGACGGGGGCAGCAGGGAGGAACAGAGGCAGAGCGCGGTGCTGGGAGATCGCTGGTCAGATGGTGGGGGCGTGTGCGGTGCGGGTGCTCACGTCCGCCTGAGAGTGTGGCGGGAATCCTGGCCCGAGCTCCCGGGGTGTCTCGCCTGCTAGGACGCAAGGTGTCCCTGTCAGCAGTGTGCCCGGTGGCCCATGCGCACGTGCTTCAGAGCCCTCATCCGGTCCCCTGGGCTGCAGCCTGACGCGGTGGGGGCTCTGCTCCTCTGTGCTCGTCTGTCTTCCCTTGTCAGCGCAAGGTGCCCTGGCTGCCGGTTGCACGGTCCGGACCCCAGGAGGTCCTCCCGCGTCCCCCACGCCGTCGGCCGGGCAGCCGAGCGAGGTCTTCCCCTTTCTCCCGAGCGCTGAGCGTCAGCCTCCAGCTCTAATGCGCCTGCACAGGCACTGCCCGTCATTCGGTGCCTCGCTGACTGGGGGGCGCCAGTCGCTGCTGCGGGCGTGGGCAAGGGAGTCCAGAAGTAGGAGTGGGAGCTTGGCCCCTTTGTGGCCTGAGGCTGCTCTCACTGTGGGGGTTCCTCCCCAGGGGGCCCGAGCCCAGGGTGCAGGAGACACTAAGGCCACGTTGGCTTAGTGGGTGTTTCCAGTAGGCTGTGGCCCTCTCTGAATTGGTTGCCAGCTCTGGTGTCTGCAGGGCACATGGGGGCGGGGGGGACCAGCAAGCAAGATATGGTCCCATCTGAGGAGTCCGCTGTGCGGTGACGTTAGGCCAGCGATGAGCAGCTGCAGACGGGCGTGGCCACAGGTTGGAGTGCACCCCTGGCAACAGTGGGCCCACACGGGGCATTCTGGGAACGCCCTCCAAGGGCGCAGCGGCGGTGCTTCCTCACCAGATGCCTGCCAGGAAGCCCCGCTAGCCTGGACCCCGGGGTTAAGGGGCCGTGTGGGCTGTGTCTGGGCAGCAGCCATGGACCCATGTGGGCACGTCCCACCTCTGCCCCTCACACCTGCTTCCTGTCCTGAGCTGCTGCTGCCCATGGCGGGGGGTCCCCACCCTGACAGCCCCTGTGCCATTTCACTGAAGGGGACACCTCGAGGGGGTTGGGAAGTGGACACTTGTCTGCTCGGGGCACTGGAAATCTGCATAGCGCACAGTCCCTGTCCCTCTTGGCCTTGTCTAGTGACAGAGAAGAACCACCCTCCCGGCTCCATACTTCTGCAGGTGGCCTGGAACCTACCTGGCTGGTCCCTGGAAGCCTCCATTGCCCTGGTGATCTCCCACCCCTTCCTCGCACATCTGTGGCTCTGCTGCTTCCAGGGCAGTTTTCATGGGTGTGTGGGTGGTTCCCCCCGGCAGCCCCCGGGCTGGCCCCTTCCTATCACGTCAGAGCTTTTAAAGCCTCGAGACTTAGGTTTCATGTAAAGAAAATGCTTCAGAAAATTACGTTTATCGTTTAAAAAAAAAAAAGTCTACGTTTACATTATTTAAAGTGTAGAAAATTGGCTTGTTTTCCTTAAGTTCTCCATTTCAGCTTGTGGGTCACTGTTCTTTTTATGGATCTAACAAACTCTGTTATTTTGGGGCAGTAGGTTTTTTCTTCCAAAGTCAGCTTGATCGACCCCGTACCGACACAGCACGTGTCTCCAGCGGGTTTCCGCAGGTGCGTGCGTCTGTGCAGATCTGGCCCTCCAGACCCGCCGTCTGCCCCATAGGTTCGTGCACACGAGTCGCCCTGCCTGCGCAGCGTGGCTGGTTTCTTCCGTGTGGCCCAGTGGCCTCGTGATGCCCGCGCTCGGTGCCTGTCAGTGGTCGGTCAGGTGCGCTGCTGGGGAGTGTCCGCTGTGTGGATGGGCCACGGTTCCTTGATTGACTTAACCACGGGTGACACTGGGGATGTTTACGTACACATGTGAGCGTATACGTACCGATGCGCAAGTAAGCTATCACATGTAGAACGGGAATGTATTTGCGTATTAAGGTGCGCCAGAGATACAACATACTCATACGCTGAAGAGGAGCAGAGCTGGCCAGATGACCCTGCCCGGCCAGCGTGGTGGTGGCAGAGCCGTTGGGGGGCCAGACCCATGCAAGGAGGGTCACTTCGTGGGGGGCGGAGGAGAAAGTCTTTCCAGCCAGCGGAGCTGGGACGGCCGTTCGTATGCACAAAAGGAAGCTACATGCAGGCTTTACGCTTTTCACCATCATTGAAAATGGATTATCGACCTAAATGTAAAATAAGAAACTATAAAACTTCTCAGAAGAAAACAGTAGAAAATCTGGTGACCGACCTGGGGTTTGGTGGTGACTTTTTAGGTACGACACCAGAAGTTTGACAGTCCCTTGTAGAACTAAATTTATTCTTACCACGAGGTCCAGTCATTGGAATCCCAGGTACTTACCCAAATGAAATGAAAACTCGTGTCCACAACAACGCCTGCACATGGGTGTGACAGGAGATTTCATTCCTAAGTGCCCAAATTTGGACGCATCCAGCATGCCTTTGAGTAGGTGAACGGATAAACAAAAACAGGGACGTCTAGACCATGAAATATTACTAAGCAGCAAAAAGAAATGAGCTGTGAGGCCATTGTTAAATAACAAAATTCAACCGAGTAAACGTAAAGGTCCAGTTGGCTTTACTGAGCGGCTCGTGGTGGATGGCATCCCGTCCAGCACGACAAGGAGCTCCGCCAAGCCGCAGAAGAGGAAAGGTTTGTAAAGACAGAATGGCGCTGCAGGAAATGAGCAGAGGAGGGGGCGGAAGGGGTCTGCGGGGCTGACCGTTGCCTAGCGCCAGCCGGCTAACTCCATGCTGACTGCTTGGAGGTCACGTTCCTGGGGTAAAGACACACTTCAGGCGGGTGCTAAGTCTCTGGTTTGCCGACTGGGGCTCAGCCCAAGTGACTTTGTTTTGGGCCTGCTGTCTCCTTTTTAACACTACAGAGACGGAGGGTGAAACTCAGATGCGTCTTACAAAGTGAAAGAAGCCGTGTGGAAAGGCCACGTACTGTGTGATGTTCCGTGGTGACTTCTGGCAAAGGTGCTGCCATGTGGTGGTGAGGTCAGTGGTGTCTAGGGCAGTGGGGGTCCGTGGACGGAGCATGGAGTTGAAGGGGTGTTTCAGGTGCTCTGTGCCATGCTGTAATGGTAGCTGTGGGATCCTCTGCATTGGGCAACACGGAGAGCAAACCTAATGGATGCAAATTAGAGAAAAGGAAGGAAGCCAGGACGTCGGGGACCCCAGGGCGCGGCCGACAGTGCAAGGCTCCGTGGCATCACACCCGCATGAGGCCACCCCAGCGACGGGGCTGGAGTCTGCATGGCTCCAGGCAAAGCACATGCACACGAGCCCTGGGCTCTCGGGGATGCAGGTGCTTCCCGCGGGGGTCTGACCAGCTCTGCCGCTGCCGCTCGCACCCTCTGGGGTGAGGGACCGAGTTAGTGGCCGGCGCAGGCTGGGGACTTGGGGTGTCCCTGTGGAGTAGGGGCGACAGGGAGTCGGAGGGAGAACGGTCCAGGAGATGACGGCTGGGAGCTGGAGGCACCGGCTTAAGGTGGACCCCGAGGGCACACAGGGACACGGTTCAATCCGAGTACGTGCACGGTCAGCACAGGCGGCTCTGTCCGTCCGCCAAGGGGCCCAGAAGCTATGACGCCCCAGTGGCGACGAGCACACCGGCCCCCGGAACTCGGTTCCCCAGACTGTCCTCCAGCGAGGGGACCAGGGCTCCCGGACAAGAGGCTGATTCCAGGCCTAGGGAAGGGGAGGCCAAGCCAGGTCTGGAGGGTCGTCTAGCGCCAGCCAGGAAGAGCTCAGAAAAAACAGAATCCCATAAGGATGGGGTTATGTCAAAGCTCTGATACAGGAGAAAACTGAAAGTCCTCATAGTGGCCAAAGTGGGAACAATTTGAGCAACAAAGTTTATAAAGTCGCATCACAGCGTAATTCAAGGTATGAAATACACACCCACAGGTCCGCGCTGATAAAAATGGTCAAGTGAGGGAGAAGAGACAAGTCACCCCGCGGATGACCTCTAGCTAAATTAGGAGCTCCTCGCCAAGGAGTGGGGGCTCAGCCCCGCAGCCCTTGTGTGCAGGTTGTGCCGAGGGACCCTCCCAAGAGCAGAGCAGGGAGGGCAGCTGACAGGGCACCCCAGCCAGGGGACGTCAGAGCATGCTGGTATGAGATGATCTTACTCCCAAAACCTGTAACCCTAATCGAGTCACAGGGAGCAGCGGACAGCTCTGACGGGGACACCCAACAGAAACCTGACCAGTCCTCTTCAAAACTGTCCAGGTCTTCCAAAACGGAAGTCTGAGGCGCCGTCACCGCCCAGAAGGGCGGAAGAGACAGGACAACGGAATGTCATGGGCGTCCTGGGTGGGATCCTGGGGCAGAAAAGGGGCTTTATTTATTTTTATGAGTTTGTTTTATCTATTTGTCAGATAGAGCACAAACGGGGGGAGCGGCAGGCAGAGAGAGAAGCAGGCTCCCCCCCAAGCAAGGAGCCCGATGTGGGACTCGATCCCAGGACCCTGGGACCATGACCCAGCCCGAAGGCAGCCGCTCAACCCACTGAGCCCCCTGCGTGCCCCAGGAAGGGGGCTTCAGACAGACAGGAAATCTGAAAACCCACAGACTGCAGTTAACGCACCGGCACGGACTGGTTAACTGGGACAGACGTCCGTGCTGATGGAAGGTGCAGAACGGGCATTCTGTACACTGTGCGCCTGACGGACGCGCTTGCTAAGTAGCCCTAAATGCTACAGCGCCCACGCCGGGGCTGGCCTCGGGGGGGGCAGACCCAGTGTGGGAGGCGCCGCCCGGCACCGCTGGGGCACAGGTGCCCTAACATTTCAGCTCCCTCAGTCTGTCCTCACGGTGAGCCCTCTGCGGGTCACCCATGGCTGCAAAGCCGTCTCGGGATCATGCTGGAAGGGGCCTCTCCAGGGGCTGGAGGGGGTCGCCCTGGGAGAGCGGCTGAGTGGGGGTCTTTGTGCTCCTCCCGCAGCCCGTGTAGACCTCACCTCCCCCAACCCCCAGACGGACCAGTGTGCGTCTTCGGGCAGTGGCATGCCTTCGGGCCCTCTGTATGGGCTCCTGTGATGGGGACACGGAGTGGCTGGTGTCCTTCTGTCCCTCTGCGCCTCCTACAGTCCAAAGGCCAGCAGCCGCGGGAGCCGGGACTGACCGGGAGACTCAGGGTCCCCTGGGCGGAAGCAGCACAGCCACAGCGGCACATGGCCGGCATGATCAGACCTCATCCTGGTCCTCCACCCCGCCCTTGGCCCTGGTGTGGGGACAGGCAGGCGTGCACAGGACTGCCGGGGTTTCCTGTGGGGCCCGGCTTCGCCTGCGCCTGCCCTAGGCTCTGAGTGCCCTTCGCGGGCAGAGGGAGACGAGGTGTTTCAGGCTGACGCCTTTGGCCTCCTGTGAGGTCTCATGATGTGCTTGCGTCGGAGCCCAACAACCCACCTGGAGGCAGCCGGTGTGTGTGTCTTTGCCGGGAAAGGGCCGGCTGTGGGGAGAGCCAGCCCTACCGCAGCCCCAGCCCCTCTGCTGGGCGGGGCGGCCATGAGCACCGCCGCGTGTGTGTCTGCGACCCTGGTGACCGTACATGCACGTGGTGCTCTCGTAGGCTGCAACGGCAGTGAGCTGGGTCCCGGCTCTGTGGGGCAGGAAGCGGCCTTCCTCTGGGGCCTGGCTGGCTGCGCACACATGGTAGGGGTTCTCTTGGTGGGAAGCATGCAGCGTGGTGGGGCGCCACGTCGCAGCCTGTGTCAGGCCCAGCCCACCATCAAGGCCCTTCTCCGGAGGGGGTTGCTGCCTCTGGGTGGCACGTGGGCTCTGGAGGCCACGGTGTCGCCCTCCCTGCTGCCCGCCCCCCCAACCCCGTACTCCAAGGCCTCCTCCCGGCCCGCCCCCCGGGGTCACTCCCGCCTGGGAGACGCGCACTGAGGGGCTGTCTGTTCTTTATTTGCAGAGGTATTGTGGCCAGTATTTTGGTTTTCTTATGTTTTGGAGTCACACAAGCTAAAGACGGGCCGTTTTCCAGACCTCATCCAGGTAACTTGTCCTTTCTTTGTCCGCGTGTGCCCACATAACACTTCTGTCCCGAGCAGTCTCCGCGTCCGTGCTGCCAGGTGCGAGTGTCCTGTCCTCCTCCCCAGCCCCTCCCGGCCGGCCAGGGCACGCTGCCGTCCCCTCAGGACGGTGAGGGCTGGGTTCCTCTCGCCCCAGCCCCTTCTCCCACCCTCTGCTCCTCACCCTGTCCTGCCGTTGTCCTTGTCCTCTTCCCCTTCCCCCCACTCTGTCTCAGGTGGCTTCTTCTGCACAGTGAGGTGCCCCAGGACTGGCCGTGGGGTTGGTGTGGCCCTGAGCTGGTGGGCCTGCTATTGAGGTGCTTGCCGCATGTGATCGGCAACGAGTCCTCCTGTCTCTCACCCCGACCCCCAAGTTAAGGGAGGCGTTCTAACAAGCCCTTGAGCCTTGGAGCTGCAGACCGCTGCTTATGCTGCCCCTGGTCCTGCCCCCAGCCCTGACCCCATATCCCATCCCCCATTCTGCCCTCCTGTCACGCCACCCGCCCCCCCGCCCCTGGTCCTGCCCGGAATCCTACCCCCTTATCCTCTCCCCTGCCCCCCCCATCCTGTTCCTGCTCCCCTTTCCTTTTCCCCTGTCCTGCTCCCACTGTCCCATCCCTGGTCCTGCCCTGACCCAGTTCTGCCCCCACTGTCCTATCCCTGGTCCTATGCCCCTCTGTCCAGTCCCCAGTTCTCCTTTCCCCCATCCTGCCCCTGGTCCTGTCCTGAATCCTGTCCCCCTGTCCTGCCCCCACTGTCCTGTCTCTGGTCCTACCCCCAGCCCAAGCTCTCTAGGGCTCCAGCCTCGTTGAGGGGCTGCCTCTAAGGGCAGGGTGTGGTGAGTCTTCCTCAAGTCTTAAGGCTGAGTCACATGTTTCTGTGTTAATACGGGTTGGTATTCATCGTGGAATATTTGAAAAATAAAAAAACTATTTTTAAATGGAAACAAAAATCAGCCACAGAAAGTAGCCACTGTTATGTTTTAATGTGCTTTTGGGAGTAGACACACATAACACAGCTTAGAAAGTGGGACCCTCTTTGGTGTGGTTTTCTATCATTTCTTCCCCACCTCAGCTTAGCGCAGACGCTCCTTGGTGAGTCTGTGTTTGGCAGTGGGATGTTCATGGCTGCTTGTCCGGCCAGCATCCGGCGTGTGGCGGTGCGAGCCCAGGCCCGCAGCATCGTGTGCTCCAGCGTTCAGAAAGCCGTAGTGAATTTCTGCGTCTGTGGGTGGGTCTGATGGTCGTTTAACACCAGGCCCTGGGAGTGGAAGCCGCAGGCTGGCGGGGGGTGCGCCCTGGAAGCCCGTGGTGGAACCGACCCCACAGAAGTGGTCGGCAGGCGCTGCAGCCGTGAGCCGGGCCCATGTGGCCTGCTGCTCTGCCCCCTCAGTGTCTGCTGGGTGACACCACCTGGTGCCTCCCTGTGGGTCACCCAGCGCCCCAGCTGCCCACTGGCTCCGTCACCAGCCTCTGAAGGCTCTGAACTCCAGCCAGGACAGTGGAGAAGCAAGAGAACGGTTTAAAAGCCACCAAAAGTCAGAGCAAAAGTCCAGGTGCGATGCGTGTCTACTGGACCGGGTAGTCAGTGCTTCCAGGCGTGGCAGGTCCCTCGGGGGGCGCTGGGCCGTGCTGGGGGCCGGACAGCTGCTTGGCCTCTGGACTCCTGGGGCACCGTGTGTTCTGTCCAGTCGGGGTGCCAGGCACCCTCGTCTGCAAGGGTCCCCTGTGGTCTCCGTGGGCTGCGTGAGGGCCACCCCGGCCCCTGCCCTCGGAAAGCCGTCTCCCAGCTTGTGTTCTGAGCTCGGCTATACCTTCCTTTCAGTTTGGAGGCTCCGTGTAAACGGGTTCCCTGCCAGTTGTGGTTTGACGACTGTGGGAGCCCGTTCTGGAGCCCCTTCTCCCTAGTGTCAGCAGGAGGACCAGGTGGCGGGAGTCCTGTCGGCCGTGTGCAGCTGTGGGGAACCCGCCCGGCAGGGTGTGCGGGTGTGGGCGCTGCAGGACCCCCTGGAGGTGGGGGGAGGCGTGGGCTGGCTGGACGCGCTGCCAAGGGAGAGAGTAAGCAGGCCGGTGGGTCAGGGGCTCCAGGGAAAGCAGCCTCAGAGTCTCCCGGGAGCTCCAGGGAGAGCTCATGGGGAATGTGGGAGGCGCGGCGCTGGCCAGATGTTTGAGGAGGGGGTGGGTGGATCTGGGCCCTGGGGGGCTCTACAAGAGGTGACTGGCAGTGTGCAATGGCCGGCCCCTGACTGGGGGCAGTGGGCGGGGAGGAGACAAATTCAGTGTCGGAGGGTCCACAGGAAGGTGCCTTCGCATGGTGGCGGGGTGAGCGCTCAGGGGAAGGTGGCCTGAGTCACTTTCCAAAGGCCCTTTCAGGTCCTGCTGTAGCCCTTGGCCAGGGACAACTTGCCAAGCTTTTCCCAGACCCGAGGGCCACAAGGGCAGCGTGTCACGTCCACTCTTGATCCCGTGCCCCAGAATTCCTTCAGCAAACCGTCCCCCGAGAACTGACCGCCTTCCTGCTTCCGCCCACACCAGCCTGGGCGCTCCTGGGTCTTGGAGCTGTTTCCCCCGCAAGCAGATGAGGCACAGTCCCCGAGTGCTGGGCGGGCCACAGCTGGGTGAGCACCTCCACACTGGGCTGCCCCTCGCCCGCAGCGTGGAGGCCAGGCCAGGCCTCTCCCACCTTGGCAAGCACCAGCCTTTTTATTCAAGGGGAGTGAGTTTTTCAAAGCAAACTGTTAGGTTTTTTATAAACAGTGGTAGTAAGCAAAGGGAAAGTAGCTATCTTAGGCCTTTATCAGACAGGGTTATCAAGATTTCCGGAAGGTGAAAGTTAGCACGTTGGTCCTGGAATAACTCCCTCTCCTTTTCACCGCCTGCTGGTGAGAAACCGCTTTCTGCATGAGCTCCGGGAACCCAGCGCTGGAGAGACGGGGTCCTGGCTGCGCAGAGGCTCCAGAGGGACAGTTTCTTTCTTCTCCGTTCTGTGGCAGTTTGGCCGGCCCCTGACAAGCCGACGGGACACACGCGTGTGTTGTCTGCGGGCGGCCGAGCGAGGGGCCGCCTCTGTCGCGTCACATTTCGTTTCTTTCTGGGGTGAGCACGTGTGCGCTCTGGCCCTCCAGCAGCTGGGAAGGACACCACCCCGGGGACGGGTCGTCCCTCCCAAATGCAGGCGTTTCCCCAGACAGGCTGCCACAGCCAGGTGCAGTCTACCCCGGGGATCCAGTGGGGCTCACGCCAGAAACCGTGTCGGTGGGGCCCCTCCCGCAGACACCGGAGGGGAACCGTGTCCTGCCCATGTGGGAGAAACTGCGTCCTGGGCCATGGGTTTTCTTAACTCGATAAATGGCATCGGCAGAAGGTTACTGCGTACTCACTGAGCGACAGGTCCGCAGCTGACTGGAAGCATGGCCGGCAGGGTGGGGGGGCTGGGGGGGGCGGGTAGTGCCGCCCGGGACTGTGCCCCGAGGCCACTGGGAGGGTGGGGAGGGGCCGGCACGGGCGGTGCTCTCTGGGCTGCGGGGCCCCGCCCGACGCCTGCGCCCCGCGTCTCCGCAGCGTACTGGAGGTTCTGGCTGTGCGTCAGCGTGGTCTACGAGCTGTTCCTCATCTTCATACTCTTCCAGGTAAGCGGCTTCTCTGTCAGATGGGGTGGCCCGTCCGCAGCTTCCGCTGGAAGCGAGGCTGGACCCCGGAGGAGTGGGCAGAGGCTGCGGGGGCTGCCATCTGGGCGCACCGTGTGCTCAGAGGGAGGTTGGAAACCCCTCGCCCTGTGAACCTTGGGTCAGGACTGGGCGCTGGTGTCTGTCGCTCCTGTTCCTCGCTGGCTGGGTCCGGTGTCTGCTGCGATGGTGACCTCGGTCTGCGAAGTCCATTCTGCACAGCCTCGGAGCTGTCAGTGGCGCTCGTCCCTGCTCCACGTGTGGTCCCATTTTCCTCTTCGGTACCGTTACTGCGCGTGTTTGTCACCCCACGCAGAGGACCCTGCCATAGCTTGGGTCACCCGTCCCCGCGTCCCCCAGAGCCACCGACCCACCTGCTCCCCCTCCATCCCCGGGGCCCCTGAAGGGCGTCTGGGTCCCGTGCATCCTTCTGCTGAGTGGGGTGGCCAGCGACATCGGCACCATTGCTAGAGCGGGGCTGTCGGCGATGGGCTCTCGTGGGCGCAACTGTGGGCCTGTGAGTCGTGTACACGTCGCCTATAAGGAGCAGCTGGACAGCCCCCAGCCCCCAGCCCCCTGCACTCGTCAGGATCTGTATTGTGGCCGCTGTTGGCAGTGTGTGGAGACTCCTGCTTCTGTTTGCATTTCAGGAGTGACCACTGTGGGGTGTCCCCGTGGCGGGCTAAGCCTCCGGAGGCTTCTCAGCTCTTGTCCGGGTGCAGTGCCCACCAGCCTGGGCTCCTGCTGACCTGCTGTCCTGACACAGGGATACAGCAGTGTCCAGCCTCACATCCCATGGTTTCTGAAACCGCGTGGGGGTGATTTCAGTTGTCAGTGATGTCATGGTCTGAGAGTCATTTCCAGAGACCCCAAGCGGGGAATAGGGTCCATTGCAGGACAAGGCAGTGCACCTGGGTAGCACAGGGGGGCCGTGGTCACATGACATCATGCAGGTCTGTGTCCTCTGCCCCCTCCCTCACCCTCCTCCCTGCTTCTTCCCTACCTTGGCCAGTACTTGGGGCAGGAGCAGGGGGACAGGGTCCTGACCGTGGGCGTCCTGGGATCCCTCCCTGTGGACTGAAGGCCCCAGCTGGCGGCCAGAGAGCGCCCAAGGAAGGGGAAGGTCTGGGCCTGCAGGTGGGGCAGCCTCTGACCGTGCAACCCCGGAGTCTCCTTAGCGCTAAGGCCAGAAGGAGCAATTTGCTAGTGTAGGCGCCCGTGTCTGGGAAAGCTGTCCTGGTGCGCTGCTTCCGTGAGGGACGTGGAGAGGGCAGGCGGCAAGACCGGTGACCCAGCTGTGTCCCCACGTGAGGGGAGTGGGGCATCACCTCGCACGTGGACCCCCCAGTCTGCCCAACCCTGTGTTGGGGGGACGGCAGCAGAGACGGTGTTTGCCTCCCCTCAGTGGAGGTGTTTTCCGCACGCCCCAAGCCATAGACGTGGCTCGAGGTTTCAGGAGTTAGCCGGGTGCTCCCGTGGCCACCAGCAGCGTCTGGCCCCACTAACCAGGGTGCTGGCCTTGCAGACTGTCCAGGACGGCCGCCAGTTTCTGAAGTACGTGGACCCTAGGCTGGGGGTCCCACTGCCCGAGAGGGACTACGGGGGAAACTGCCTCATCTATGACCCACACAACGAGAGCGACCCCTTCCACAACGTCTGGGTATGGGCGGGCCCAGGAGCCCAGTGCTCGGCAGGTGCCCGGGTATTGCTGACCTGTCCTGGATGTTTCTAGAACCCCAGTCATTCTGCAGATCAGACGGGGTGGGGGTGGCATGGGCCCTGGCAGGCGCTGGCCTCCCTCCTGCTAGACCCGGGACTCCCTTTAGCTCAGCCCATTTGGAGGAGGGTTAGGGGACCCCGGGGGTCGTGCAGCCCACATGTGGGGCACCGACCGAGCTCACCAGGGCCTGGGTCCCTGCCATCCAGCCTGAACACGTAGTCTCGGCCCAGCTGCATACTCCCCTGGGGACCCCACTGACAAGGGCACCGGCTCTCCTCGGTGGTCAGGGCATGCTGACTGTGTGTGCGCAGGACCGCAGCTTTGTCCCTCGGGTCCAGCCAGTGCTGCTTGGAAAGGCTGAGACTGTCCCAGCAGCCATGGACGTGGGTGGGAGCGAGAGACGGGGGGCTATGGGCTGCACCTGAGGCAGGTGTCCTGCCGCTACAGGACAAGCTGGATGGCTTTGTGCCGGCACACTTCCTTGGCTGGTACCTGAAGGTAAGATGACCTCGGCAGGGGGACGCCCTGGGCCTGCCTTGTGCTCCAAGCCCATTTCCCAGATGTGCACTGACGTTCCGAGTGCCAGAGCATGGTGGGTGAGGGCCTGGGGGCTGTGGCCCCGACCTGTGCTGGTTCTTGGCACCAGCAGTGCCTTGCCCCGCCCGGGAAGGCGCTGGGGGTGTCCCCCCGGCAGGCCTGGTCTGACGCTCTGCCGCGGCCCGCAGACCCTGATGATCCGTGACTGGTGGATGTGCACCATCGTGAGCGTCATGTTCGAGTTCCTTGAGTACAGCCTGGAGCACCAGCTGCCCAACTTCAGCGAGTGCTGGTGGGACCACGTAGGTGCCAGCAGATGCCTGGGGCAGGGGTGGGGGGGTGCAGAGGCCCTCGGGTGGGCGGGGCACTCACCTGCCCTCCTGGCTCCTGCCCCCAGTGGATCATGGACGTGCTTGTCTGCAACGGGCTGGGCATCTACTGTGGCATGAAGACACTCGAGTGGCTGTCTCTGAAGACGTACAAGTGGCAGGGCCTCTGGAACATTCCGACCTACAAGTGCGTCTCCTGAGCAGCCGCCCTGTTCCCTGGGGGCCAGGGCGTCCCCGTGGGGTCTGGAGGTGACGCCAGTGCACCTTTTGGTGGGGGGGGGGACAGTGGACCAGGATTCTGCCCGCTTCCTCTGCTCACCAGATCCGCCCCCCAGGGCCCTGGTGGTGGCCAGGAAGTGGGCCTGCAGTCAGCTGCCCTTCGTGCCCCCGGGGCTGCCCTCCTTACCTGATCCTCACGGGCACTTGGTCCTGTTTACTTTGGGATTGGAAGCAGCAGTCTGGGAACAGACCCGGCGGGGCACTGGGGAGCGGGGGGGGGGGTCTCCACACCCATCCGTCATGGGGCCCGGGGCAGCAGGCGGGGGGCACAGGGAGTGAGCAGCCACTGGGCTCCAAGCGCCTGGCGTGGCTGCCTGGAGGACAGAGGCTCCGCGGGGTGACGGGGCCCTGTGCTCCCAGGGGCAAGATGAAGAGGATCGCCTTCCAGTTCACGCCCTACAGCTGGGTCCGCTTCGAGTGGAAGCCGGCCTCCAGCCTGCGCCGCTGGCTCGCCGTGTGCGGCATCATCCTGGTGGTAAGGCCGGCCTGTGTCACGCGCGCGCCTGCTGGGCAGCCCGACTTGCCACCCACCCTCCCGTGTCTCCCAGTTTCTGTTGGCAGAACTGAACACGTTCTACCTGAAGTTCGTGCTGTGGCTGCCCCCGGAGCACTCCCTCGTCCTCCTGCGGCTGGTGTTCTTCGTGAACGTGGGCGGCGTGGCCATGCGGGAGATCTACGACTTCATGGACGACCCGTGAGGGCCCAGGGCGGGTGGGGCGGGCCCAGGCCCCCTCGGCGTTGCTGCCCCTGGGGCCCCGCCGCAGCACCCTCAACCGAGTGCCCTCCCCCCGCAGGAAGCCCCACAAGAAGCTGGGCCAGCAGGCCTGGCTGGTGGCGGCCATCACGGCCACGGAGCTGCTCATCGTCGTCAAGTACGACCCGCACACGCTCACGCTGTCCCTGCCCTTCTACATCTCGCAGTGCTGGACGCTGGGCTCCGTGCTCGTGCTCACCTGGACCGTCTGGCGCTTCTTCTTGCGGTAAGGGCATGGGCCGTCTCCTGGGCCGGGTCAGCTGGCATCTGGGTCACGGGGTCCCTCCCTGCGACTCTGGGAGCGTCCCTGTGAGGGGCAGCTTCTCAGGACCTCCGTGGGCCGGCTGGCAGTGACCTGGCTCCCGCTGTCCCCAGGGACATCACCCTGAGATATAAGGAGACGCGGCGGCAGCAGCAGCAGAGCAGGGGCGACCAGAGCACGGCCGTGAGCCATGTGGACGGACACCTGCCTGAGCCTGAAGACGCCCCGGGGCCCACGGAGCCGGAGAGCGAGGGCGTGCCGGCCCCAAACTGATGCAGCTCCCGGCCACCGGGGGCCCCTCGGCCCATGGGGTCATACCCACCTTTTTCCCATGAGCACAGTGGGGCCCTGCGGGGCAGGGCAGAAGGTGGCCTGTCCCAGACGTGCACGTGTGCGAACACGGCGTGGAGGGGAGTGGGCACGTGGGCTGCGTGTTGCTGAGGCTGCTCTGGGGTGACGAGTGTGGCTGGGCTGGCCCTGGGCAGCGGTTTCCTCCCCGCAGATCACAGGCATAGCTGTGCCTTTCTCTGCTCCCTGGGCCCCGGCCACTCTGAGGCCCTGGGCGTCCATGCCGGCCACCCCAAGGCCCCAGCTGCATCTCACCGGGTGTGGACACCCCGAGATGGCTGAGAAGGAGTAGGTCTGAGTAGGCAGCCCTGAGCGATCACCCAGGAAGGTTTCATCTGACCCCACAAACAGGTGGGCACAGGGCCAGAGGTCATGGGACCGGTCCCCTGAGGAACAGAGTCAGAGTCAAACGCCCCGTGTCTGAGGTGGGAGGAGGGCGCGTGGGTCATCTTCACGAGCAAACCGAACAAGCGCACCGGTGCCGGAGGCCTGCGGCCCTGTGTCATCCTCACTGGCCCCCAGCCTCAGCCCGGTCCTGCACCCAACACAGGGGTTGCCCAGGGTGATGGGGGAGCGGGCAGGCGGGGCCCCTACTGCATTTGTCTGCTCCAGTCAGAGGCCGTGCAGAGGGACGGCCAGGCTGGCAGGAGGGAGGCGGCCGTCCCAGGCACGTGTGCGTGCACGCTGCAGGACGACCCCAGTGGAAACACACTTACGACCCAGGCCTGGTGGGGGCCCCACAGAAAAGACAACACTCCTCCTGCCAAAAAAAAGTGCTTTAATAAAGTGTCTAGAACTTTCTTGCATTAGTGAGCTGAGAACATCTCTCTTGGTTCAAAGCTAGGAGGCCCGCGGGAGGGCGCGGCCGGGCTCAGGAGATGATCCTCAGGCCGGGCTTGCGCTCCCCCAGGGCCTGCAGGCTGTCATCCGTCTCCTCCGACCAGTAGATGTCGTAGAGGCTGTGGGCGCCAGAATGCGCGGTCAGGATCTTGTGGGGACTGTGCCCCTCCAGCCTCCCCCTCCCCGCACGCAGCACTCACACCAGCTGCTCCAGCACACAGCTGGGTTGCTCCACGCTCTCCATCAGCTGCCGGATGCCCTGGTCATTCATATGGTTGTTGCTGAGGTCCAGCTCCCGCAGGCTGCGGTTGACCAGCAGGAGCGAGGCCAGGCTGGCACAGCCATCGTTGGCCACGTCGCAGTCCCCCAGGCTGGGCGGAGACAGGGCATGGGTCAGGACAAAAGGGCCTGCCGCTGATCACAGGGTGATGGGGGGGGTCCGCAGCACCCAAGGGCATAGTGGTCACACTGACCTCAGGCTCACATGGCCTGGACTTAGGGCCCAAACCTCCCTGGACAGACGGGAGGGCACCAGAAGGCCTCATCTGACCCCTCACTTCCTCACCGCCGGGCACTGGGAACTGGCTGGGTGGACGGTGGGCTGCCGAGGCGGCCACCAGAGGCAGAAGAGCGGGGGTGCAGGCACAGGGTGCACAGAGGCTCCTGGCCTCCAGGGTGAGGACAAGGAAGGGTGGGCCCAGCACCGCTTGCCCACCTCCGCCCGCTGCGCAAACCAACCCCCCACCCGGAAGCCGCAGTGAGCAGCAGAGACCAGGACGCAGAAAGCAGACAACCGCGGAGACCGGCCCGCAGTGCGTTGTGGGGAGCAGGGCTCGCCCCGCGCACGTGCCCTCGCGCCCCCGGCGCACTCACCACAGCTCACGCAGCGCGGCACCGGGCTGGCGCAGACCCTGGCACAGCTCCCGGACGCCCGCATCACCCAGCTTGTTGTCGCTCAGCTGCAGCTCCGTGAGGTGCTTGTTCCGGGCCAGCATCGCACCAAAGGAGGCGCAGCAGGCGGCCGTGAGGCTGCAGGACTTCACCCTGGGAGACGGACAGCAGCGGGGCCCACAGCTCGCAGCGCTCTCGGAGGCCCCTGGGGGCCTGACAGGAAGCCCCCGACCCCCACCCTCCAAAGACAGCCAGCGCCCCAGTCCCCCCACCCCCTCACGGAGGCCTGGCCCCCAGACACACGAGCCACCCCAGCCCTGGGCCCCCCGGGGGCCTCAGCGTTCCCGCAACCACGGGGTCCCCTGGGGCCCCGGCCACCACCGGCCGCACTCACCACAGGGACTGCAGCTGGCAGCCGGGCTCCAGGAGGCTCTCACACAGCAGCCGGGCCCCCTCATCCCCCAGCACGTTGCCCGCCAGGCTCATCTCCTTCAGGCTCTGCTTGGCCCTGAGGACGCGGCAAAGGTCTCTGCAGCCCGTGGTGGTGATGTCACAGTCCCAGAGCCTGCAGGCCCAGGGGACAGGTCACGGCAGGGCCCCCAAGGCCGCGGCCCCGAGGGTGCAGGCCGAGGGCACACTCACCACAGGACCCGGATCTGGCAGCTGGAGTGCAGCAGGCTGGAGCACAGCGTGGCGATGCCCTGGTCACCCAGCTTGTTGTCACCCAGGTCCAGTACCTGAAGCGAGGGCTTGGCAGCCACGACCCCACGTAGGTCCTCACAGCTGGCCGCCGTGAGGCCGCAGTTCTCCAGCCTGGAAGCACAGGAGGGCCGGCTGGGCTGGGGAGACGGCCCTGCAGCAGCTGCCGCACCCGCCTCCTGCCCGCCAGGCCCAGCCCTTACCTGAGCGCCTCCAGCTGGCAGGAAGAGTCCACTAGGCCCTGGCACAGCACCCGCACGCCGGCCTCCTCGATCTCATTGTTGCTCACCGCAAGCACCTTGAAGTGCTGCTTGGCCTTGAGCGCGGAGGCCAGGGACACACAGCTGGCGGCTGTCAGGTTGCAGTACTCCAGCCTGGGGATGGGCAGGGGTCAGAACACCCGCCCAGGGAGCACTGCCAGGATGGCCTCTCCTGCCCCAGGCTGCGGGGCCCATGAGACCCGGGGGGCAGCAGGGCCTCCCAGCCCAGGACGCCCTAGAGCTGGGAGAGAGACACCAGCCTCCCTTGCGGGCTCCAGCCGCCACCTCCCTCGCCCGGCCCATGGGCGCTTGCTGTGGGTTGCCAGGCCCACTCTTGGCGTCAGCCCACGGTCCCAGCAGCACCGGGGACAGCTGGCTGCAGTCTCCAAGAGCCCCTTCCTCATGGCTCCCCGCAGCCCAGGGTGGGGGGTGGTCTGTTGCACACTCACTGCAGGTTCTCCAGGTGGCACTGGGGATCCAGGAGGCCCTCACACAGCAGCTGCAGGCCCGTGTCCTCCAGTGGGTTGTTGCTGAGGTGCAGCTCCCGCAGGGTGGGCACGGAGCGCAGCACGCCGGGCAGGACGCCACAGCCGGCTTTGGTCAGGCAGCAGTTCTGGAGGCTGGAGTACAGCCAAGCTGGCCATCAGCACGGCCCCCGTCAGCTCTGGCCAATCCCGTACCCAAGGGAGCCCACCAAGCACAGCCCCATAAGAGGGCCAGGGCTCTGGGGTCTCCTGGCCCAGGACAGAGCACAAGAGGGGCTGCTCAGAGGCACTTCGAGGTCCAGAGGAAGCTGGGGCGCTCAGGAATGACAGGCGGGGCTGTGACTCAACCACACCCCAGGGGAACCGGGGGTCTCGGCCGAGGCAGGAAGGGCCCCCATGCTCCAGGACTGTCCAAGCAGGTTCGGACCTGAGCCAGGGATGGGGCACGCCTCTGGACCACGTGGGTCACACCGGCTCACCTGAGCTTCTGGATCTTGCAGGCCGGGCTCTGCAGGCCCTGCAGCACCAGGCGCACCCCGCCGTCACCCAGTTCGTTGGTGCAAAGGCTCAGCTCGGTCAGGGAGGGGTTGGCCTGGAGGGCAGAGCAGATGTCCTTGCACCGCTCCTCCGTGAGGCCACAGTCGTCCAGCCTGTGGACAGGACACCAAGTCACCACAGGGCAGGTCCTGGCCCATTCGTGGGCCAAGAACTCAACCTGGGGGAGGGACAGCTCCTGGGTGGCTCAGTCAGAGGAGCCCATGAGTGACCCTTGATCCGGGCGTGGTGAGTTCAAGCCCCACAGGGGGCATACAGGTTATTTAAGAAAGTAAGCTTAAAGAAAAGAAGCAGAAAAGTGTGTGGATTATCTCACGAGGCTTTTGCTGCAGGCCCGGCACCACCAGAGGCCCGTGTGGGGCCCCATGTTCCCCACGCCTTCCCGTGTGGCACCATCTGTGGGGGAAAGCCCGTCTATCTCCGCAGGAAAACCCAACAGAGGAAATGCTGGGAAAAGGACCCTGTGCCTCAGAGGGACACACCGGGAGAGCTCAACAACCAAACCCAGTCTTGACTCCATTTCCCAGCCCACCGCCAGCAGGGACGGCGCCCCAGCCCCCTGCAGCAAGGGGACAGGCCCTCAGGGCCTCTATGCCAAGCCCTGGCCACCCCGCCTCAGCCAGGAAGAGGCTGACGTTTTCAGAGAGCGGGAAGAAAGTACAGTAACATCTCGTGCGTGTGAAAATCATTAACAATTCACAGTGAGTCCATAAACCGTGCTTTCGCAGCCCAGCGGCAGCGGGAGGGGGAGCCCGTGCGCCATGCCCACGCCCACACACCACGTGGCCGGCTTCTACCTGACCACCTGGTACTGCTGCATCAGAGGCAGGAGCTCTGTCCACCGGGCATCACTCAGCTCCTGACACTGGATGTCGAGGTTCATGGTTCGAGCCCGAGTGTTTTCTAGACAGAAGGCAGAGGGAGGAGAACATCTCAGCCAAACTCTCAGTATGTGACAGGCCAGAGAGCCAGCAGACGGAAAGGAGTCGTAACAGGACCCCCAAGGCGGGGGAGGGGGGTGCTGGTGTTTCAGAAGCCAGAGCCACTCCCTTGGCCAGTGCCCTTCTCCACCTCAGCCTCCAGGAGCACAAATCGGGGCAGGCAAAGGGAGGCTGCAGCCACTGGGCTCCCCGGACAAAGGCCACCGCAGAGGAACAACAGCAGCAGCCTCACGTCTCAGCCTCCTGCACTCCGC